AATATTTTACGGTAGTCTCTAGAGTATCTTAAATTATCCCAAGGAACATTCTTTTGAATTTTGTAAAATCGGGTGACTTGATGAACATCAACAGGAGGCTAGAACTTCTACAGACAGAGCCAATGAAGACAGGGAGCAGCTCTTGGTAAAGAAGGCTCCTTCTAGGCCCTTCCCAAGAAGTCTGTCTGCCCAGGGTCACCGCTGCCCCAGGCCTCCTGAGGCTTGGCGGTGAAGGGGCTTCGGCATGAACAGCCCAGGGTTGACTGGAAGCTGTTTGCAGGGAGAGAGGGCCCTGGCTCAGGCCTGTGTAGCTTCCAACCTGGCTCAGCACTGCCGAGCGGGTAAAGCTGCCAGGGACCCACCAGGGACATGGAAGAGGATACTAACTGATCAGACAAGGAAGAAAGTTTGTTTACAACTCTGACCAAAACCGCAATGCAACGCTAAGTGATATGAAGGAGGAAGATTAACACTTCAATTGATTTCTCAGGCTGAGGCCCGTAAATTTCTAAAATGACTGAATGCCTGTCATTTTCTACTGAGGAAACAGAAGAAGGGAATCTGATTTACCTTGGGCAAAAACAAAGCAAAACCCCTCAAAAAATAAAAAGTGGAATATTCAATTTATAACATTCTGACATCTTAATCACTGACCTCTTTAAAACACAGCACAAACTGTAGCTGGTGCTACTTAACAAAAGCATTACAACTTTCTTTTTAAAAAGCATTTCTTGAAACCAAGAACTGAAAGAAGGAAATTAAAGCTGTAGAGAATGCTCCGACTTCAGAGGACTCATACTATACCGTGAATCGTGTCTGTCACCTGGAAACCAGAGTGCTCCAGGCACGATCGCATGGACAAGCCTGCAGCAGAGAACACATGCACATACAGCTAAAGTGGTACATTCCCCACGCCCTCATGCCCCCCAACACAGACATTCCTTCCCAGGGGCGGGCTGCGTCACACCATCGTTCCAGGGGCCAGAATCGGTATTGGCTCATGCTATAAATCTCAAACATCATTTAAGACCAGCAAGACAAAGACACTTTGTATATGTCAAAATTAGACACAGTTGTGCGTGGTTTATTTAGTTATCAAAAGAAGGCACCAAAGCAGGTATGGAAGGACTACAGATCATAATTTGGTGAATATCTTTGTCAAGTACTAGCTAAAAGAAATATTAGGTGGATCAAATGGGAATACAAAAGTAGAAAAAGGTTTGATTTCTGAGAGGTAGGTGTGACTACCTTAGAGACAGGTATAATTACAGCATACTCAAAGTACAGTGGAATATTTTTATTTTAACGCAGAATGAACATAACTTAACTCATGATAACCCTAGTTCAGAGTACTCAGTTACCGGACATGACTTTCAGTCACGTGGGACAATGTGGGGCTCTGTATGAAGGGGCCTCGGTCACAATGTCTGCACAGTAAAGGTGACCTTAGTTCCACAGAGAAATGTCCATTTCTCAGGAGCCAATAATTTAGTATTAGCTATCTATGGGCTGTTCTATATTTTACTGTGAGTTAACTTTTAATTAAACTGGGGTTAACAGGAAACTGGGAAGAGCACATTTTGTTTTCTGCATTCAAAAAAAGACCATGTACCAAATTTTAATCTTTTGAATCACTAACACATATCTGCATTGTGCCTTGATACCTTTAATCGTATTATGGTTAGTACTCAAACAAGCACTAATATTAGCCTTCTATTACTCAAAAAAAAAACAAAGCATTTCCCAGACAACACTCGAGAGATCGTTGATGTATATTATAAACATCCATGCCTGTGAGACCGTTCAAAACGGTGAGGCCAAATCTCTCCATTCATGCACAGAAGGGACTGGCTCGACACAGTCACTGTTCTGACAGAGGCAGGGACAAAGCAATCCTCTGAGACTTCCGCCAACTGGCACAGGTTACATTGAATGAACAATACGTACTGACATTTGTGTCTTCCACAATTCATGATAAATAAGCAAACTGGTTATTTGTAATCAGCCAAACTTGCTTCTTTGAAAAGGCTGCTACTGGACGCTGCAGAGCTCATGTTCCTTCCCAGTATCAGAGAGGAAAAAAATCAAGTTACATTTATAGCTAATTTTATCATGTCAAGCTCTTTTCTAGCAATGACATTTCTTACCACGGCAAAGCTAAGCTAGTATTTCTTCTCAAAACTCCTAGTAAGCCCAAAACAAAAAAACTCCTATTAAACCACCCTACTTTAAGCTAGGGGCAATTTTACAGTTGAATTCAGTTTTCATTGACTACACAGCGAATGTAAATAACCTCTTCCTCATTAAAATTAGAGCTAGTCTGTGAAACAGACACTAAATTATATTGACATGTATTACTTTAATATCACACCAATATTTCTATATTTAATAATTCCCTACAAATAATATTTTGTACAGCTGGTTTTCAAAACTGGTTTCTTTTTTTATGTCCTTGAATGGACCCATTCTTTCCCTTGTCTAACACAGGACTTTTAATAAGCCCTTTTAAGGAACACAAATCCTAAATAAAACCTTCAAACATAATTAGGAAGTCTGCTTAGGGCTCATCGCATACAAAAATAAGGGACAGAAACTGGGCTTTAGACCAATTGGAAGGTTTTACCTTGGCTTTCTGCTACTTAACCAAACAGCAGCCATTTCCCTGCCACTACAGAAATAAAGGAAGTTAGACATCTCACAACACCAAAGAAAGGAACAACAAAAAAGGTGAGAAATCTCTCATTATTTTAAACTAAGTCATTTGTAAATGACTATAAATGTAAATCAAAGATTTCTATTTAATTATTTTATTGTCACAGAGATTAAAAATGTCGAAAGCTTAAAACAAGAAGAAGGGGAAAAGGGACACACTAAACTAAACTAGTCTATCATATAATTAGGCAAAGCAGCAAAGTATTATGAGAAAATACATATTATGCACAGTCATCGATTAAAATTTTTAAAGGAAGGAGCTTATTTTAATCCACCTCAAAAGGATGCTACCACTGCATTTATATAGCTGATTTAGGTTATACCAATTATATTTCCATAAATGCACAATCATGTGTAGAGATGCATGTGCTTCCATATAACGCAAAGTAAAAAGGGAAAGTATGATATTTGCACTGAACTATATTAAACTGCCTTCAGCTACATCTCTTAATGCCAATCCTGACAAGATACTGTCAATTCTGGCAATTTTGTCCTTGTTTTGGGAAGAAAAGTGTCATTGTAGATTATAAATCTCTCTCCTTCCCTTATAGGCCAGATTCAAGGAATTGATGATATCAGAAAATTTTAAATTGAGTTAAAAATATTTGCTAAAGAATTTAAGTTCACGATAAAATCCCTGATAGTGTTGTGAAAATTCAACTTTTAAAACACGTAACTGCTGTCCAGCTCACCTCTTTCTAGCTCCTCAGTCTACCTCTACTTTCCTTCTCTCTTACCGTGGTCTTGTCTGGGAGTCCCTGCATTTCCCCTCTAGTGTTGTCAAAAGTAGTCTTAATGTCTGAAAGCCTAACTGGCAACAAGTGCCACTGATAAATCCTGAAGAACCTGGGGACCAAAAATATTTAAATTTGAAGCTGTAGGGTTGATAATTTTACAAGGTTCAAACTTAAATTTCTAAAAAAAAAAAAAAAAAAAAGTGTTTAAACTAAGGATTCAATAAAGTAATTATGATTTCTACCTATGAGGCAAAAAAAGTTTCCCCCCCCCAAGAAAAATGAGTTTATCACATGCAATTCCAATAGCTGGTCATTAAAGTGTTTAAAAGTACTGCTTAAATGAAAGCACACAGAAATGGACTTGTTACAGAACGGAAAGGTCTTCAAAGAAAGTGGCTAAAGACTGACTTTACTAAAAGGGCCAAAAGGACATCAAGTGGATATTTCAAAAACTGTGATTTGAAACTGCAACTTGATTAAATTAAAAAAACCAAACTGCGTGGCAATAGAAGAATTTTTCTGCTTGTGCACTGTCAGGGTGAAGGTCACTGTAGTTCAGCTGCATGTGCCTAACTGTAAATGGCCTCAGATCGCCTCAGCAAAGTGCACACATCTCACAGCAGACTAACTTGTTTCCAACTCTCTCAGATTCTAACCACTTTCACAGCTTGTCAGGGTCAAGGAAAAATTATCCAGTGAAAAGATTCAGTCAAATTATGACAAATTTTTAATGAATTAACATATAAAGTGCCAATCTTAATTATTAATATTTCTAAACATAATCAAATTATCATAGATATGGACATGACCTGCTTTTTAGATTGAGCTGAGACTAGTGTTCTAAAAATTATATTTTCCATTTTATAAAGATAAAAAAATAGGCTCTTCCAACAAGGATTTAAATGAGTATCGAATTCTACCATAGAAATATATCCATCAAATATTTGTATATGTGGTCAGTAAAATGGTAAACTCACGGTATTAAAAATAGTTTTAAAAATCCACACATCTGGGATATCCTATAATAGATTAAGACAATTTAACAAATAAGGTACTTTAATTAAAATTAGAATAAATTATTTTAAAGTAATATAAAAATTAGGAAAGACTGTAAATCTAACAAATTTAAAGTTCTAAGGAAATCTCCAAGGAGGCAGTTAATAAATTCCACTTCCCTGAGGTCTGCCACTGGGACCACCTGTAAAACCTGTGACTGTGCTGTGAAAACACCTCCACATCAGCAGCTCACAGCCTAAGTCTGCGCTGAAAATCCAGCATCATCAGGCACTCTTTAAGATTTAACCAGCATCATACATTCTGTGGATATAAAGCTAGGAATGTTTGCACTCGTTTCCTAACAAATAATAAGTAAAAACAGGAATTCACTTAGAATAGAAACAAAAGCCAAGTTGTACAGCCCGATTAAAATAAAAGTAACATATTAAAATAGCTCTAGTAACACCACTAAAACATTGAAATCTCCTCCCACGCAGAAGGAAAGAAGTTAAACTGTTCCAGGCCCTCCCGTCCCTCAGCGGCCCCGGGACTCACCATCTTTAAGATCGCACCGTACAGGCGGAGGAGCACTTTCCGGGGCTCGTCGCCGACGGTGGCCACCGTGTCCGGTAAGGAGCACAGGAACAGCATGTTACTGAGGCCGCCCCTGGGAGAAATGAGAGGGTGGTGAGTTCCTGTATTCTGTCACTCTCCTTGGTAACTACAATGGATGAAAGTGAGGACCCCACAAGCACTGTTCTTAAGTCTTCATTCATTCTCTCAAGATACTTGCAACATAGCCCTAACTGGTGTGGCTCAGTGGGTAGAGCGCTGGCCTGTGGACTTTAAGGTCCCGGGTTTGATTCCGGTCAAGGGCATGTACCTTGGTTGCAGGCACCTCCCCAGTGGGAAGTGTGCAGGAGGAAGCTGATAAATGTTTCTCTCCCTCCCATGTTTCTAACTCTCTATCTTTCTCCCTTTCTCTCTGTAAAAATTCAATAAAATATATCGTATAAAAAATAAAATTGAAAAAAGAAGATACTCGCAACATAAATGATTAACTCCACAGGTTTCAGATCAATTCCATGAGTCACATTAAAAACCAGAGGCCTGGTGCACAAATTCGTGCACCATTGGGGGCCCTTGGCTTAGCCTGCGGATCAGGCCAAAACCGGCTGACAACCCCTGTGGGTTCCAGACTGTGACAGGGCACAGGCCAGGCCAGGGCCCTCACAGGTGCATGGTGAGGGCTGGGGAGGGACCATGGCTCCAGGGTGTGAATAGCCCGTCTCACTCAGTCCCAATAAACCGGACCCAGCAGCAAGCTAACCTCCCAGTTGGAGCATCTGCCCCTGGTGGTCAGTGCACGTCATAGTGAGCGGCTAAGCAGCCCTAACATATCATTAGCATATTATACTCTGATTGGCTGAATGGACCACCAGACACTTAGCATATTAGGCTTCTATTATATATATAGGACAGGCAAACCCTTCACAGCCAGGGCGACCACTGGAGGAGTGTCTACCTATGAAGTAGGAGGTCATGGTTCAATTCCCAGTCAGAGCACATGACCGGGCTGTGGGCTAGATTCCCAGTACGGGGTGTGTGTGTGTGTATGTGTGTGTGTGTGCCCGTTGGGTGTGGGCAGTGGGCCCTGTGGCACTCCGGGGCCTGGAAGGCCAGGGGAGGGAGAGGGCGTGCTGCTTCCTGTTCCTGTTGGCACTGCAGCAGCACCACGTCAGCCCAGCCTCGGCAGCTGGTCCCGAACCCGCTGCAAACACCTTCCAGAGGGACCGGTGCAGAGGTCTGGGCTCTGGCCCAGGGACGCTTCTCAGGTGAGGCACCAGCAATAGCCACGCAGTGCCCCTCCTCGCAGGCTGTACCCTGATTCTGTGGCCCCTCAGCACTTCCAGATTCTGACAACTCCGGCCTCTTCCCCTTGCTTCTCCAAGGCCGGAGTGGGGCTGCTTCATGCAACTCATTGTTTTAATCACTTCTGCCTTCAGTTCCCTCCCACCTGCCACCCAGTTCCTGTGTTCGGTTCTCTATGGCAAAGGACCTAGTATTGGTCTAGTTTTTTGCAAGCGCCTGGCGGGCACATGCGGCCCTGGAGCTCTAACACGGAGAGAACACGTTTCCATGTGGTGGCAGCTTCTTACTCTGGAGTTTTCTGTTACAAGTACTGACTGATAGAGCTTATCACCACATCCACTGAGTCCTTCCAATCTGGAAACTCCTCCTCCTCTGCTAACTAAAAACTACCTGCCATTTAAGACCAAGTTCAAAGTCCAACCTCCACAGAAGCTTTTGCCATCGTCCGGGCTGGCTCCCTGAGGGCCAGGGTAATGCCTACCTTCAATTTTTAAGGCTCAATGGCTCCAAGTTGTGGATGCTCAGTAACGATTTTCTAAAAATGACAACAGCACTCTTGTCCCACTCAGTCTCTCTTCTCCCAGCTCCTCCTGCTATGTTTGAAAACTGCCCTACAGTGCTCTCTGTAGAACCGGCAAGTTAGTCTGACTCCTGGTCAGACTGTAAGCTCCCATCTCCCTGCGGAAGGCTCCGTGCTGAGGGAAAGGCCGCGGGCTTAGAGCCAGGGAGCCAGGCACTCAAATCCCACCTCTGCCACTTATCAGCTGTGCGATCGTGGGCCCACCACCACTGTAACCTCTCGGACCCTCAGTCACTCCTCTGTAAAGAGTGGGACTTCATCAGTCACTGTAAGGGCTCAGAGTAATGAAGTATCTGAAAAGGATTAACTCTTCCATCCTCCCAACAATCCTCTGGTGGACACTGGTATTGCCCATTCTATAGATAAGGAAACTGAGGCACATAGCAAGGAAGTGACTAAGCCAGGATTCAAATGCAGGTGTACGGCTCCAGGATCCTTGCTTTTAACTGAAGCCACAAGACACAAGAGAGAAAGCTAAACGCGGTGACAAGTGCAGTGGACACCAAGAGCCTTGCATCAAGACTAGTCTGTACAAACCTGCACAAATGTCTCCGTTTGGTGATGGCTGCAGGTATCTGTGGGTATTCTAAAAACCACTAAATTGTACGCTTTAAATGGGTGAATTGTGGCATGTGAATTATATTTCCATAGTTGTTTTTTTTAAATAAGAAAGCTGACTTTTTCCTATGTACTGAGTTTAAGCTACTAAAAAATCTGAATGTGCTTCCACAGAAACAATGGTCCAGATGTAAATAAAAGTCAAATTTGATTTTTTTTCAGTAGCTTAAGAGAAAGCAATACCTGGGAGCCATCACCAGAGTTAAGGATCTGTTTTCCCCAAGGCCAGTCAGTGTCCCTCAGTTAAGGAGGAAGAGAAAGATAAGGGAACTCAAGGTTTTAGTACCCCACCCCCCACCCAGCAAGCAGAGTGGAAAAGCAGATGGAAGGTGCAGGGACAGAGAACAGAGGGTACAGGGACCCTTAACCTTTCTTCTCAGTGTGTGTGTGTGTGTGTGTGTGTGTGTGTGTGTGGTGGTGGGGGGGGGGGCTCATGTGCACAGCCATCAGAATTGCTGCAGCTCCAGTCCCAGCCAGCGAGGGCTCTGGCTCCCAAGCGACAGGACAAGCATTAGTTACAAGTCCTAGTTCTCCTTCCTGTCACATCCTCTGGAGAGCTCAGTCAACAAGGAGAGCAAACAGACGAGCTTCTGTTCTAAGTTGTGTAACTCCATTCAAAGTTTATCCCCGTACTCCTGAAGAAGGCAGCGGGCTGGCCAAGCTTGGCCAGAACAGGCCCACAACCTGGAAATCCTTCATCTCTCCTGTTATCTGCAGCCTCTGTTGCTCAATAGGCTTTGGTAAGAGGAAGTAAACCATTGACTAGATTTTAGTGACAATCAAAATAAAAGGTCACCATTATGGATGATGCAAACTGTGAAAACCATCCAGAAATAAGCCAGTTACCAATGAGCCAAATAAAATGACTAGGAACAAGGAGATATTAGGAAAACATGCCACAGAAATGATAGCAAAAATCCAACAGCCCAATTTATGGCATAATTTGTCAAGATTATCTGCCCAAACCCTGGTGGCGTAGCTCAGTTGGTTGAGTGTTGTCCCAATCCAAGGTTGTGGGTCCAATCCCTGGTCAGAGCACATACAGGAATCAACTAATCAATGCATCAATAAATCAATGTTTCTCCCTCTCTCCCTCTTCCTCTCTCTAAAATCAATTTGAAGAAAAAATATATATATATCTGGCCCTGGAACTCTCAGGGATTTCAAAGAACTGTGAACTCAAACTACAAACCTTATCATCTGGCTGGGACAGCTTTATAATAAAGATATGTCATTAAATTTAGGAGGCACAACATACTCATGAAGCAAATAAAATGAAAAATAACATTCATTTCACATTCAACACGTGTCAGTGACACATGTTGGAAACCGAAGAGCTGGGAATTCTAATAGGCGTCCCTGGAACTCGCTGAGTGTGGTCACTCTTTTATACATTACTAATCAGACACAAAAATAAGCATTTCACCTTCTCTTTATAACCAGCTAATCAAGAGTTAACTTACACCCTGGCTGGGTGCTCAGCTGGAGCATCATTCCATGCGCAAAAAGGTTGCAAGTTCAATCTCCGGTCTCTGTGTCTTCCCCCACAACTCCTTCCTTCCTCTTTCCCCTCCCACTTCCTCTCTCTCTAAATATCAATGAACTAGTCCTGGGATGAGGATTTAAAAAAGAAATCAGAGTAAGGAAAATTTCCACTAAATTGCACTCCAGTTCATTGAAATCTGCCTGCGAATTCCCTTCTTCTGTTCCGTCCGGGCCTCCTCTCCCCGAATTTCCTGAGCTAGCCCTTTAAAAAGCCAACACGTTTTTCATTCATAGCAATTCATAAGAACAAATTTGTTTCTCGGTGACTTTTCCATCTTCAACTTTAGGGAAAGTTCGGGAGTTAGCAAACTTTATTGCTTTCTTCCCCGCTCACCTTTCCCTGCGTTAGCCCCTGATCCAGAACCTACAGCACAAGCCTTCCCAAGTCCTCCATCTTAGTGGCTGCCTGGTCCCAGGAAAGCCTGGGAAACTAATGTCACCTGCACCCAGGGCGAACCCTCAAAACCCCCAAATAAGGCAAGATTAAAATTTAATCAAGTTCCTCTTAATTTGCTACTAGGTCACTGCAAGCCAAACAGTTAAACATCAGCACAACTGATTTCAAAACTTAATGGCAACTGGTAGACTTTTCAAGAAGTGAACTAGACTTTTCCCCTATGAGGCAAGAGAGGAAATGCCCTTCATTTCAGAGGCCGGTGTGCTCCCGAAAGGCACAGCTGAGTTTCGCCTGGGAGGCGGCAGGTGGAAGGAGTGCTCCCCCTCGAACAGATAATGAGAGAAACCCGGTGTAACGTGAGGAGCAAAGGAAGGCGGCTGTGACCGTAAAATACGATCCTGCCTCCTCCCCCTCCCTATGCTCAGTCCCTCCGGACGGAGCACCACAGCGCAGCCTGGAACTCAGCATGCCTGGCCAGCCAGAATGCTCGGGGGCAAGAGGTCACTGTGGTCTACAGCACAAACCAAGCAAGCAAAGGTCCCTACAGACTATACCATCCTACCAAAACACCGCTGCCATCGGCGTGCTATGGAAACTGCTAACTTCGGTGGCTGTGAAAGTTCACCTGGACTGTAACTATACTCCATATGTCCGCCTGTAAAAGGAAGCCAAACCTAAGACAACGATGTCATCAAAACCTTTCAGTCCCGAGAAAAAAGGAATATTCTAGTAGATGTGATGCAGTCCGGCTGTATCAGGTGACCCACTTGAACCATCAGCACTGTGAATGTCCCCCTTAGGCTCAAGCAGCCAGCTTTGAAAGGAAGCAGCCGGTAATCCTGAACAAGCGTGACCACAGAGAGCGGGCAGTGCACAGGGCAATGTCTTGGAGCTCGTGTATGTATTTACATCTAGGACAGGCTTCAATGTTTGCAACTGGATCTCACAAAAAGTGTTTCCAAGTATACGAGTAACATACAATTTACCTTATTACCCATGTTTAAGTGTACAGTTATATATTCACATTTCTGTACAACTATCACAACCACCCATCTCAGAATGCTTCATCAGGTAAAACGAAAGGCTGTATCCATTTAACACTAAGTCCCTCTTCTCCCTCTCCCCCAGCCTTTGGAACCAACAGTCTCCTTTGTTTCCATTTCTCTGACTATTCTGCCCACCTCACAGAAGTCAATTCAATATTTGTCCTTCTGTGTCTGGCTTATTTTGCTTAGCATAATGTCCTTAAGGTTCATCTATATTGTAGCAGGTATCAGAATATCTTCTGTTAAGGCTGACTAATATCCCACTGTATGTAAATGTCACCTCTGCTTATCCAATCATCCATCAAAAACATCGAGATATATTCTGCCTGGCCACTGTGGCTCAGAGATTGAGCATTGACCTATGAAGCAGGATGTCACAGTTCAATGTCTGGTTTGATTCCAGTTAGAGCATATGACTGGATTGTAGGCTTGATCTCCAGGCGGCCTGCAGGAGGCAGACAATCAATGATTCTCTCATCATTGATGTTTCTCTCTCGAAATCAATAAAATATATATATATTTTTTTTAATTTTTTTTTTTTAACAAAACAAGTCTACACATATTTCAATCATCTGGGGAAGAATTCATATCTGGCTGAGACAACTCAATGCTCAATGGCAAATCCAAGAAACCACCTGTTCCAAAGAAACCTTTAACCAACATTTTCTTCTGCTAAATTATCTGGTTTGCACCTAACCAACTGTATTTGCTGGAAAACAAAAATGGCATCGAAACCACGCAAACTGTACATTAAGTCACAGGCATCGAGTCCAGCAACATACTGAGTCTCCCCAGAGGTTAGGGCCTGGACCCAGGAGTTTCAAGACCATCGTCTGAAACTCAAAATGACTAAAGAGCCTGGCTGGTGTGGCTCAGTGGTTGAGTATCAACCTATGAACCAGGTCACAGTTCAATCCCTGGTCAGGGTACATGCCCCAGTTGTGGGCTCAATGCCTGGTAAGGGCCATGCAGGAGACAGCCAATCAATGATTCTCTATCATCGTTGATGTCTCTTTCTTTCTCTCTCCCTCTCCCTTCCTCTCTGAAATGAATAAAAATATGCATTTTTTTAAAATTCACAACATAAAGTGTCTCAGCAGAAAAACAATCCTCAAGTCCAAAGGACCAGATATACAGGAAATAGAAGGAAACATAACACCAGAACAGTTACTGAATTTAGGTTGCAAATGAAAAAAACTAGGATTTTTGGAAAATATCTTCTAGTCATCTAAAACTCAATTTGAAACAACCACAGCTCAGGTAAAATAAGAAATACTTCAATTAAATGACAGCTTCAATACAGGGTAATCAAGAATAGGTGCCTTAACCCCAAGCCTGGAGGCCCAGTTACAGGCACAGGCCTTGCCCAGCTGGTGTTCTCAGCGGCTGAGTATCGCCTTAAGAATCAGGAGTTCAATTCCCAGACAGCACATGCACAGGATGCAGCTGCCCCCGGGGGGATGTGCAGGAGGCAGCTGATAGGTGATTCTCTCTCATCACTGGTGTTTCTCCCTCTCTCTCCCTCTCTCTGAAATCAATTAAAAACATACTTAAAAACCAAAAAGCGGGCCTTTGCTGGCTCTTTGGGCAAGTTACTCAGTGCCTCCAACCCTGTTTTCTCAGCATAAGGTAAGGTATCTAACAGGGATTTACGTGAAGATTACAAGATAATGTCAGCTGCTCATTATTAGCACCAACCACAAAGCAAAGATTACTCTTTAGGAGGATGGCCAGATGGATGCCAGAGGAAAGCTCAATCTTCAGTCCTCTGTTCCAAGGCTGCTCAACCTCAGTGCTGCTGACATTTGGGGCCCAATAATTCTTTCAGGGGGAAGAGGAGGGGCCGTGCTGCGCTGCCAGCTGTGGAGGAACCAGGAAGGAGAACATGGGCAGCAGGCAGAGCGGGCCAATCCGAGGGACTGAACTGGAAAACAAACAAACAAACCCTCCTGGAACGGAGAAGCCACTGAGCAGGGTTATAATATACAAACTTTATTGGACAAAAGCCAATCGCGTTTCTCCATACACACCAGCCCCGAACAAGTGGAAAGTGAAATGAAAAACTCAATTCAGGGATCATTGCCCGAACACCTTCGGGTTTCCTTTTCTCTGCCCTTTGACTCACTGCTCATAAAGCTCTCTGCGAGCGAGGCCAGAGGCACAAAAATAAAGTGGAGCTCAGTTAATTTTGCTGCATTTGCAGCTGCGGTGGAGGACTGGGCACAGAAAAGGAGTCAAATGACTAAAATTGGATTGGGGGATTGGTGGCAGCCAGCCAGCTGCTGGATACTGCCCTCAGCCTGGCCAGCCGCGTGAGGGAAAATCCGCAGGGAAAAAGGCATCCGTGTCAACAGAAGGATGCACTCTGACATGTTAAACGGGGATCCCGCGGGAGACAAAAATCAAGGGGGTCTTTAGGTTTCCCTGTTACGTGTGAACATGCACACTTAGGCGTTTCTGATTACATTTAAATTTTCAAACGTTTAACCGTAAAATAACGGGGGTGGAGGGGGAGATTCCTTCTACTTCGGAGCCACACCTCCTAACTTTGGTCTGAACAGTGTTGGGGGGAATGAGCAACCCTAATCAATGACTCTCCCGAAGAGGAGAGAGAGAGGAAAAAAAAAAAAAAAATCCAATCGTCGACTCAAGGAACTGGAAGCAAAAGTTACCAAGTGATTTTTTTTTTTTTTTTTTTAAAAAGGCCAGTCCCAACATCCCCCCTCCATTTCGGGCCCTACACCGCGAAGGAACTTTCTAGACGCGGCTGAAGCTCCTGAACGAGATGCACTACTTTGCGATCGCGCGGTATTGTTCTCCTCGGAAGAGACCTGCTTTCCCACGAAACGGGAGGAGGAGGAAAAAAAACATTTTTTTTTCTTTCTCAAAAGCCTGCCTCTCGGAAGGTCCGGCGGCCGCGGGGCCAGTTTCGCGAGATTTGGCCGGACCCGCCGGCGGCCGGGAAGGTGCTCTCCGCCCCCCGCCCCGCGTCACCTGACCGGCCCCGGCGCCCCCGCCCCACCGACCTGATGATGCTGATGAGAAACTGGTCCTCGCGGAGGCCGCGCCAGGCGCCGGGCAGGAACTCCTTGCACCACAGGTAGGCCCTGCGGCGCGTCCGCGGCTCCGGCTGCTCGTCGGCGGGCGGCGGCGGCGGCGGGGGCAGCGCCGGGGGCTGCCGGCCGCCCAGCTGCTTGGAGTCCAGGTCGCTGGCGGCGTCGCGCTGCTGCCCCACGCCCGGCGCCGGCGTCGCGCTGCCGCTGCCGCAGCTCAGCAGCAGCCCGAGCGGCGAGGGCTCCGCCTCGCCCCCGTTGCAGAACTTGGTCTTCATGCCGGGCAGGCGGCGCGGGCGGCCGAGGCGCGAGAAGGAGAGGTTCAGGGTCCGGCCGGGGGCGGCGGCCGCTCGCCCGCGCGCAGACGGGCGGGCCAGGGGCGGCGGCGGTTGAGGCGCCGGGCTGGGCTCGCTGGGCGGCGGCGGAGGCGCCGGGCTGGGCTCGCTGGGCGGCGGCGGCGGCGGCGGAGGCGTGTGGCGGCGGCGGAGGCGGCGGCGGCGGCTGCGTTCGGCTGGCCCTGCTGTCCGCGGCGCTCGCTCCTATAGCGCGGCCGCCGCACGAGGAGCGCCGCCCGCGTCACAGCCCGCCCTCGCGCTCGCCGCTGATTGGCCGACGCCCGACGCCCGGCGCGTCACAACCGCCAACGCCCGGGCACGCTGCCTCCCCATTGGCTGCGGCGCCGCCCCCGCCAGGGACGCCGCGGCCGCAGGGGGCGGGGCCGGCGCGAGGGGCGGGGCGTGGGGCGGCGGCGGGGTTCGCGGGGATGGAGAGGGGCGAGCGGGGCGCCGGACACCGGAGGGAGGGCCGGGCCGGGGCGGGGGCGGGGCGGGGCGGCCGCCGGACTCGGGTGCGGACTCTGGGCTTGGATTTGGGGGCCGGAGGTCCCTGGGACCCTCTCGGGCCCGCAGGACATGGGGGGCCGGGGCCGCCGGGCGGGGGCCGCTGGAAGCCCATGCCGGGCGCCTGGCTCCTCTTTCCGCGTGACCTTGGGACGAGGCGCCAGGTCTGCGGCTCCGGGTGAATGATTTTTTTTTTTAAATATTCCCGGACGGCGGCCGCGCCCCTTCCGAGCGGAGCCGGAGCAAGGCTTGTCCCGAGATCGGAAACCGAGGCCCGAAAGGGGGGAGAAGGGTCGGGCTCCAGGCCGCGCCGCCGGCCCGGCCCCGGAGGCCGCCCGCAGCCTCGGTTTCCCGTCGGCGGGGCGGAGGCCGCGGGCCCGCGGGCGGGGGGCGCCGCAGCGGGTCCCTCCGCTCCGGAGCTCCGGCCAAAGGTGAGCGCCGCGGGGCCCGCTTTGTGGCCGCCGCCCCGCCCACCCCGCGCCGGGGCCGCGCGTGACCGTGACGAATGCACCTTTGCCCGGTGGGGAACGAGGGCCCCCGCCCGCCCAGGGGCCGCCCCCCGCCCCCGGCCCCTCGCGGCTCTTTGGGCTGCAGACAAGAATAGGAATGCAGATTCCGGCTTACGGGATGTGAGCCGGGACACGATGTTTCCCCGGCTGCCGGGGGAGACTCGGCACCTGACGCACAGGAAATGGCTGCTTTGCAGGAATGTGCCGTCCGCTCCGGCAGAAACCTCTCCTTACAGTGTTCACTGGGCTGAGCTCGGCACAAGAAAAATGGTCTCCCTGCGGGGAAGGGCTAGGACGAAAGGGGGCTTTTAGCCGGACAGCTGCGGAGGGGGCACCCTATGGAGCCGGGAGCACCCGGGGTGGAGGAGGGAGGTGCGGTCGGGAGCCCCACGGGATGTTTGGGAAGCTGAGAAATCAAGGCCTCCAGTCTGGCCATTTAGATAAGGTGGCCAAGGACTTTTGTCTAAAAATACCAGCCTGCAGGGAGGTGGGGGCTCGCACTGCCCGCCCTCCCATTGTGCCCTGGCACACGCCTGGTCATCGCAGAGGAATGCGAGACATCTGGGCAGGAGGCAGGGACACCAGCGGTACGGGCTGGGCCCCTCATGGCCAATAACTCGTTCTGGCGTCTGCCGGTTTGGGCTGTTAGAACCTATTCCGGCGCCTTTGTGGGCTGCAATTCCCTGCGGGAGTGAGAGGTTACCTCATTAAAGATGTCGGAAAAGTTTTATCTGCAGTTGCTTCCATTCTGATTCATAGATGCTGAGACTCGGAGGCTGAGAGCCTTGGCCCAAGTGCTAGGCTCGGGGAGGGCGAGGCAGGTGTCCTGGCTCTGTCTAGGAAGTGCTTTGCTTCCATGGGGATACGAAACTTCCTTCTGGAGAGCCAGCCTGGAGTCAGCGCTCACTGTGGTGCTGGGCAAAACCCCGATCCTGAGACTGAGGTCCTGAGACTGAGGCCGCTGGGCATAGAGGAATTCTAAAATAATGGGTTTTGTATGAAAAAGGAGCGATTCTGCCTGTGGAAGTGGGGGTTGCTTGAGAGGGTTGGAAGGCTGAGGAGGAATCCAGCAGGCATTCCAGAGCACCTGCTGTTTACAGCTGCATCCTCTGAGGGTGTGTACTGAGCGCCAGGCCTGGGACACAGGCCTCAGGAAGATGCCGGACATGCACTGTTTTTCCAAAAGGCTAGGATAAATACGTGCAGGACTCAAGCTAGCAACCCCGTTCTCAAGGCTTCCTCCCAAGAAAATAGCCCTCGGAAGCAAAAAGCCCTGGAGCCCACCGTGTCGGTGTACCAGGCAGGTCAGCGTGGCCAAGGTGAAGTTGGTAGGAAGGACGCATTTTCCACGTATTTCTCGAATGCCAGCCATAACCCTTGGCAGCCCTGGGTCCACAAAAGAACACCTAAACCTATGGAAAGCTGAGAATTTGCCATGGCCGGGCATGTCAGATGGTTAGAGCATGGTCCCGCCTAAGCCAAGGTTGTAGATCCAGTCACCAGCCCGGCACATGCGAGAATCAACCAGTGAATGCGGAAAGAGGAACAACAAGATGGATGTCTCTCTTGCTCTTGTCCTCTCTCTCATTGAAAAGCAGTCATTTGTTTGAGACATGCCCCAAACAAGGTCTCAAAGAATTGGATTGAAAAGATGCTCCCGAGAAGGGCAGCTGTGCAGCTCGTTATACATTAGAATCAAAGAAAACTTAGGGAGGGTCACAAGAAAGCCACCGGTGGTAGGTTGAGGGGGTAGGAGAAAGGAAGCAGGGACATCTCTCGGGTTGGATAGAAGGCACAATGGAGGGCCCCGTGCTGCTTTCACAGGAGAGCTACAGGAGAGCTAACGTTTACAGCAGAGAAGACATGCAGGCAGCAAGATAGCAAGGAGGAAACGCCTGGCTGTGCTCTGGTGGTGATGGGGGTGCCTGAGGGATCTGGGAGAGAAAGTTGCTCTGACATCCACAGGTGTGTGGTCCTGGCGCATGAGGACGGCGGACAGGGCTGGTGAAGGTGAAGATGAGCCTTTGCCCAGGAAGCTCTGGGCCTGGACGGACCACCCGCCACCCCCTGCCCGGCTAGGACTTAGTGGCTGTTCGGCTCGACCAAGCTGCTGAATCGATACCCACCTCCGGGAACTGGCTCTCCGGCCATTTCGCCATGGACATTCCCTTTGCTGGGACCACATTCCGCGCATGCACAAAGAAGTCTGCCCAGAAAAAGCCGCCAACAGTCCTTTACAAGCCGAGGAGTCCCTGGGTGCTGGAGCCATCCAGGCTCAGCCCCTGTGTGCGGATGATCCAGTGAATTCCTAATCCCTCACCATTCTGGCCCCTGCGTGTTCCTTTTCTGGAATAGTAACACTGATTCCCCCTGCGCACGCGCCCACACACACACACACACACACACACACTGCCACCCTCTTCCTCTCCCCTCTCCCCCCTTGGTTTGTTTATTGTGTATTGTCTGTCTCCTTCCCGGAGACTGGAGCCTCCAGGAGCCTGGGACTTGGCTTATCTTGTTCTCTACCACAATGCCGAGGAGGCCTGGCATTGTTGGCACTCAGAAATATTTGCCCAATGCATGGCTTTGGGCTGAGCCTCAGCTTGCTGAGCTGTAAAATAGGGATACAGTCCCCCGGGCACAGGGCTGTGGTGAGGGGCGGGTGAGGGTGTGTGCCATGCCTGCAGGAAGCACCCATATGGCTGTTACGTGGTGGCTCATGGCACAGCACCTGCCAGTGGCTGGCATTTGGTGATAAATAATGCACACACTTGTAGCAACTCAGCCTGGGGACACAATGTTGTGTAAGAAAGTAAGTCAGACTGGAACATATGTTCTGATCAGTAGAATGATCACTTGGGAGGAAGTGGACCAGACTCGGAGAGAAATTTGTTAGGGCAGGTACCGTATAGGGGAGAAGGTGTCTGTGACAAAGCTTTTCTTCTAGGACATAAGAAAAGTTTCCAGGAGCTCTCTGACGCTGAATTCTGAGCAGACGCGGTAGGGGGTGAGCCTCAGGAACGGGGGAGTGAGGAAGGGAAGTCCCTCTCCAGTCCCTAGCATTGCTGCAGAATGCTTTCTTTGCTCTGGGCTGAGGGCATCCTCAGGGCCAAAGGGTAGACCCGGGGCCTCCACCAGGGAAGAGAGGGGGCCACCCATGGCCCCAGCCCTGCCACTAACTCCAGTGGCAAGGCCTGTCCGAAGGAGGGCTTTGTGAGCCTGCCAACCCCCAAATGGAGGGACCGCTTGTCACGCACTGTGCCAGCCCTTTACCCACATCCAGCATCTTTGCACGTTCATGGCGGGGGTGAGCTGAGTGTGATCAGCATGCACCATCAGGCGAGAGGGCTGCAGCCATTTGTCCAAAGCAGGCAGCTGGTGAGGGCAGAACGTGGGGACCCACCAGGGCTCCTCCCTCTGGCTGGGGGGAGCCTCGTCCTTCTGCGCCAAAAGCCCCTTCGGCCAAGGAGGCACAGGTGCTCGGAGGGAGCTGCCGAGCAGCTCACCGTCCCTCCAGGCTGCACCCAGGCCCAGGGCCCCACTCAGCCTGAGCCTTAAAGTACTGATGTGGGCAGAGGCCAGCGGCTGAAACCCTCCATGCTGGGGATCGGGTTACAGCCCTGCCAGCGGAGTGACAGGGTCCGGGCCCCTTTGCAGAGCCCAGGTTTGGCCCCGCCCCAAGCCCTAGGGAGAGACTGAGCGTGCCCAGCCGCTTCTGGATGTCTCTGAGCCCAAGGGTGGTGGCCTTCGTGTGGCCTCACTGTGTAGGGGTCACAGGTAGAGCGTGAAAGCAGGTCAGGTGACCTGAAGGCCCACAGGCCGTGTGGGCAGCGGACGGGTCCTTCCCCACCCCGTTCGCAGGGAGCCTGACCGTAGCATCAGGGCCAGCGCCTGTGTTTGGAGCCTTGGCCTCCACCCGCTGTGTGACGG